TGCTCAGCAATTTCTGGTCAAATGAATGAACTTTAAAAAATAGCAGCTAGCATTTACATAGATAATGCTTTAAGGTTTGCAAAATGCTTAAACATTATCTTATTTGATCCTTTCTATATAACTACATAGTTAACCCTGGGAGTAGGTGCCCCCTTTTACAGATAAAGAAACTGAGGCAAATAGGATTAAGTGACTTGCCCAGAGTCATACAGCTTATAAGTGCCTGAAGTTGGATTTGAACTCAGATCTTCCTGATTCCAGGTCCAGTGCTCTATCCACTGTACCACCTAGCAGGTGCCGTCTCTTGCTTACCTTATAAACCTTAAAGCACTCTCAAATCTCTCGGGTTCTAGTTTTTACTCATCTCCTGTGGCATCTCTCCATGCTCTCCTCCCTCAACCTCCCCTTCCCCTAACCCCATCCACACCTCTGCCAACTTCATCTAGCAGACCAGACTATATAGTATATAGGAAAATATTGGGGGGGCAGTGAAGGAGGAGAAACAGCTAAATTGCAAAGTTAAAAAAAAAACTCTGAGAAAACCAGTTTTGGTCCATTTGATTCCATAGAAATTTAGAGGAGGAGACTTTAGAGGTGTTTTAGGCCTAGAGGAAGTGAGGGACTGGTCTAAAGCCATACTAGTAGGTGACAAGGCTGGCATCAGAATCTAGGTCTCTTAATTTACATATCTTTTTCTAAAAACATTTTTATTAGTAACAGCCATCACACTCATTTCAATGTGCAAAGAAGATTAAAAGGATTTTATATGAAAACATGAACTTCTGTTATATACTGTGAGCATTTTTTTTAAAGTGTAGATTAAGTTTATTAAAGTAGTAATGAAATTGCTCTCTTTTCCCCTGTTCTTCCCGTCATGCCATGCTAACTCCAGAAGGGAAAATAAAGTTAATGGCTCTACCTGAGGTGGGAGAGAAGAAATACACTCTGAATCCAGTCAGTCAGATCTATAAATGAAAGGGAACAGAGGAAAGGAAGGGCCTGAAGACAGCTATTTAGGGCTTTGAACCTGTCCTAGCACTGCCTTTGACAGTGGTGCTTTAAACTGGACCCTGAACAAGAGGAAACTGTCTGTGTGCCCATTGTGTTCCACAGACTGGAGGGAGAGGGTGGGGCAAAGAGGCACCACTAGAGAAAATTGAGAAAGGAAAGGAAGGTGGGGGATCAGGGACCCAGTCTTTGATTGGAGAAACCTTCCCAAATTTTGTTCTCGGGGGGTAACAGTGAGAGGGAACTAATGAGATCCCATTCAGGGGAAGACAGTGGGAAAATGCTCCCTTTCTCTAGTTTGCAATAATGCAAGAAGTGAATAAGGAGGGTGGAGAAAAAGGAGAAGGACTAGAAATGGAAATGGCAAGGGAACTCATAAAATTAGGTGCTGCCTGACTGCTGAGTTCCAGCCCAGTTGGGCCTCTTTCTGTGGTCAGTGCTTTAGAATCTGAGAGCTGGAAGGAATCTCATGAATCATCTGGTTCAAGCCATACCTGTGCAGGAATATCTTCCATAAACATCGTCAACAAGTGGCCATCTTGCCTTCTCCCAAATAATCTCTGGAGCTGGGAAACTCACTGTCTCCAGAGACAGCCCTTTCTATTCTTGGATAGCTCTAACTATCAAGAAGCCTTTCCTATATCAAGCTTCAGTCTGCCTTTCTGTATCTCCCATCACTTCTGCCCTGTGATACTAAGCAGAATAAGTCATGTGGCATGGTTTCCACTACTCTCACCATCCTGCTCATCTTCTTTTGGATTACATCCAGAACAGCAATAGCATTTAAAAAATAAGGCACCCAGAACTAAATGGAAATATTCCACATGTATTCTGCCTAGTGCAGAGTACAGGATCCAAAAAGATCTCAACAAATTAGAATGTTAGGCCAAATCTAATTAGATGAAATTTAATAGGAGTACATGAAATGCCTTGTGCTTGAGTTAGAAAAAAAATCAACTTTACAAGTACAAGATGGAGTGGCATGGTTGGATAGGAGTTTGTCTGAAAAACAATGAGTCTTTTGTAAATTGTAAACTCAATATCCGTAAAAAATGCTATATGGCAGCCAAAAAGCTAATGCAATATGAATTAAGAGAAGTAGAGTGTCTTGGAGAAGGGAGGTGATAATCTTGATATACTCTGCTCTGGTCAGAACACATCTGGAGCATGGTCTTTGGTCTAGGTATGATAAGCTGGAGAGTGTCCAGAGGAAGGAAACCAGGACAGTAAAGGCCCTCAAGATCACACCAGATAAGGGCAAGTTGAAGGAAAGGGGAATGTTTACCCTGGAACAGTGAGAACTTAAGGAAGACATGATTTTTATCTTCAAGTACATGGTAGAAGAGGAACTGTACTTGTTCTACTTGGCCCAAGAGGGCAAACAAAAGAGCAATGGACAGAGAGACAGATTCGGTTTAATGTTGGGGAAAAAATACAAAAAATACCTAACAATTAAAGTTATTCAAAGGTGAAATGAACTGCTTTGGGAAGTAAATGGGCTTCTTTTCACTGGAGGTTTTTGAACAAAGGCTGGATGACCACTTGTCAGGTATGTTGCAGAGGGGTTTCTTGCTCAGGTCTAGGTTAGACTAGATGACCCCTGAGATTTCTTCTAACTCTGAGATTCTGTGCTTCTGTGACCATCACTTGCTTCTTTGTGGATATAATGTCTCTCTAAATGCAGCTTCTCTCTGCACCAGCTCTGGTTTCATCTTTTTTTTTTTTTGCCACACCCAATAAAACAATAAAAACAAGACATTGGTTTGTCTTCTGATGAAATCTATCAACTGACCCATCTTTCCACCTTGAGCCTGCCCTTGATAACCCAGAACTTTATAATGCTCTCTGTTTGCCAAGGGACTCCTGTTTTGATTCTCTACAAGTTGCTTGCCTTCCTCAGTTAGTACCTCTGGGGAAGCCCATAGTCTTGGGCTGTTGTTGTCCTCATGTTCACTCTTCTCCCTCTTTGTTCTCTTCACTTCTTCTATCTCCTTAGGACTGGGATCTCTGTGTCCTCCATGGTGACAAGTAGTCAACCTGATTAATTTAAGAGATGAAGTGTGGTTTGGTGAAAAGAGTACTGGATCAGAATTCAGAAGACCTGCCCTCTGGTAGTGCTGCCACTTATTAGCTATGAGGTCGGGAAAAGAAGTTGCCCTTTCTTTTTTAGGCCTCAGTTTCCTCATCTGTAAAATGAAGGTATTGGGATAGATGATCTCTAAGGATCTCCTTCCACCCGTTTCCCCACATTAGAAGTGAGGGCAGCTATCTGTTCTCACAGGCAATTGCCTTTTTAATTATGTCCTTCTGGACAGTTCCTTCTGGAGATCTTGTCCCTTCTGTGTTCTAACACATAAGACTTATGGATACACACACACACACACACACACACACACACACATAATATGGAAGGGATTTTAGAGGTCCTCAAATTCAACCCTCTCATTTTACAGATGTGGAAACTGAGGCCCAGGGAATTTGAATGACTTGCCCAAGGTCATACAGGAAGGAAGTTTGGGGAGTAAGATTTGAACCTGGGCTCTCTGAGCCTGGAATTAGTATTCTTTTCGCTGTATCATGTTGTCTCCTTGCCTGTGGAGGAGTGAACTTGTATATGCTTCCTCATAGATGATTAGATCTAGAAAAGACCTTAGAAATAAAATAGTCCAGACTTCCTCATTTTATAGGCATGGACACTGATGCCTTGAGAGGATAAGTGATTTGTCCTAGGTCACATGGCAAGATAATGGTAGAATAAGAACTAGAACCCATTCTCCTGAGTCCTAGCTCAGTGCTCTTGCCTTGACACCACACAGTCTCAGTCAGTCAACTTCTCCTAGGAGTGGAGGATAGTTCCCGATGGCCCAAGAGAAAGGTCAGTTCTGGCATAAGCTCTCAGTCCTATGTCTACAGACCATAGGCAAGATCAGCCCATATTGGTGGTTTAAGGGCAGAAGTATGAGGGAATGAGCTCCTTTAGTTCTCTCTGCAAATGTATTTTTTTAGGGGTGCCCAATTTTGCACAGTGAAAAGAGTTCTGGACTCAGGTTCAAGGAACCTGAGTTTAAATCATTGGCTCTGCAATTTGCTGTCTGAGTAATCTTGGGCAAATATCTTCACCTTTCTGAGCTTCAGTTTCCTCATCTGTAAAATGAACAAACTGGACTAGATAACTTTCAAGGTCTTTTTCAGCTCTAAATATATGATTTAAGATCCTATGATCTGGCCACAGCCTACCTTTCTAGTTTTATCTCCCTCTACTTTCCTACAGGCCACCTCTGCTCCAACCACTTTAATTTCTAAATATTCTATTTTTGCTATTCTTCATTTGCTAACTATTCTTCGGACTTTCCCCAATCTGTTCCTTGCTCATACTATTTACTCCTGACAATGTAGAATGCCCTCTCCCTAGTAACCTACTGTCAGAATCCTGCCCATCCTTGAAGGCTCAGCTTACAGGCCCTCTCCTCTGTGAAGCTCTCCCTGGTCTCCCCAGGCCAGATGATTTTTCCCTCCCCAGAACTCCCATAGCTCTCATGGCTTGTATGGTTACCTAGTCTCCCTAATTAGATTGTAAACTCCCTGGGGGTAGGTACTAATTCTGATACCTTTTTCTATCTTTGTCTTCCCAATAGCACCTAGCTCAATAAATGGATCAACTGATGGATAGATTTAGAGGGCAAGTCACTGTTTCAGGGAGACGGTGAGGCATAAGTAGTGTGAGGTTTGCCTAATGGACGGAGCCTTGGGGATGTTGGGGTGGGGAAGAGGAAAGATGAATAACCAGAAGAAACAATGGCTCAAAGAAAAACTTTATTGTCCCCAATCATATTGCTGAGGTCATCAGGACCCCAGCACTACCTTCCCTATTATTTTTTGCCCTTCTTTTTTTGGCTCTATGGAGTCGAAACACTTCGTTGTTGGGGGAGGGCTATGTGCAGGGGAGGGAAAGATGAGTGTGAAGGAGAGGGAGATTTTGCCTCTCATCAGTGTTATTGCCCACATTTCCCCTTTACAGGCCCCTCAAGGCCAGGCCCGTGGCTGTGGCCCTGGCCGGGAGGTGCATTCTCATGCATCTTTTCATGGGTTTCCATGACCACACGTGCTATCATCACAGCGAACTCCTTGAAGTCAACATCAGCATCTTGGTTTGTGTCCAGTTCTTCAAAGAGATGTGAGACATTCTTCAGATCCTTGGAGTTCTGGGACAGAGGGAAGAAAGAGATAACGTTGGTTACTAGAAAACATGTGGTAAGGAGCAAGGTAAATTCATAGCCTGGGACTCCTGGCAATGATCCTGATTTTGTCAGAGGGCATTGGGAAAACCCCATACTGATTGTCCTCACTAGTGAGGATGCACCCTTAAGAATCCAGGGCTATGACAACATTATATCACTCGTGGGCAGTATAGATGTGCTCCCCCCTTCCCCATCTTCTATAAATAATAGTAACAGTAATGATAATACCAGCATTAGAGATAAGGCTTATGACTAAATAAGTCCTTGAAATTGTGTAGCAACTTCAGCCATGTAAAGGGGCTTCTTAGCTAGTGGTACAGCAGATTTGGGGTCTACACTTGCTTCCAAGGAAGCATGATAATACTAAATAATGATAGCTACCATTTATATAGCAGTTTAAGCACTTGTGTTATCTCACTTGATCGTCACAACAGTCCTGTGACATAGGTGCTATTACTAGTCTCATTTTACAGAAGAGGAAACTGAGGCTAAGAAAGGTTGAGTAACATGCCCAGGTTAAGGAGAAGTGACTGAGGCAGGATTTGAACTCAGATCCTTCCCAATGCCATATGTGGTACTCTATCTGGTACATTAGTGGTGTCACATTCACGTAGAAGTGGATCTCTGATGTATTAACTTAGAAAACCACAAATTAACATTATCTATGTTGTATTCTATTTTTACTTATTTTGTTAAACTTTTCCCAATTGCATTTTAATCTGTTTTCAGGCACTCCATACAGCAGGCAACCCAGCTGTCAGTCTGGGTTCAAATCCTGTCTCAGACCCATGCTAAGTATATAACCATGGGCAGGTCATCTAATCTCTTAGAGCCTTGGTTTCCTCATTTGTAAAATGGGGATAATAATGGTAACAGCACCTACCTCCCAGGGTGGTTGTAGGGCTCAGATGAGATAATAAACGTAAAGCTCACTCCAAACTTTAAAATGCTATATATTATTATTGTTGTTGCTGTCTAGTGAAAAAAATGAACCTAAGGTCCTCACCCAAACCTTGGGCCACAGTCTCATCTTCCTAACTAGGACCAATTCACTTTGCCCTGGCACAACAGCCACTCTTTTTTATTTTTTACCCTCCTTCTTTAGGCTCTATGGAGTCAAAACACTTCCTTGTTGGGAGTGGGGATATGGGCAGGGGAGGGAAAGATGAATGTGAAGGAGAGGGAAACAGAAATGGGGTTTTCCCTGTTATAGAGGCATAGAAGGAAGGTCTGGAAAATACTGGTGTAGAGTGGCAGCTGTGGGTAGTAGAAAGATCTCTGGATTTGGAGTCAGAGGAGTTGGCTTTGCGTCTAAGCTCTATTACCAGAAGACTGTGAAATCTTCAGTAATTTTTATTCTTTAGCCTCAGTTGCCTCATCTGTAAAGTGGGGGTGTGAGGTATGAAAGGTTGAGATGGACGATCTCTAAGGTCTCTTCTGGCTCTAAATCTATGATCTTAAGATGCTTGGGATAACTTAAAAAAATGGGTCCAGAGAAGTTGGTCTCCTGTATCCCTGGATCTTCCCATCGTGGACTCAGTGAGCAATAGCCTTCACGAGTCATAAAGACCCTCAGGAGGCAATCCTTTAGGAACTCAGGCCCTGTTGTTGTCCAGGCCCAAACCAAGGTCTCCCCTGAAGCCCCTGGGACTTCCAAACCGTGCCATTTTCCTTACTCCGCTTCTCCCTACCTCAACACTTTTGCCCCCAGATCTCACCTTGATGAAATGTGGCATCTCCTTGTTCAACAGCGTCTTCATTTCCCTCCTGTTCAGGGCATCTTTGTTTCCAGAAATGTTAGAATATTTGTGGAAGGTATCAACGAAGATTTTCAGGGAATTTTTCAACGAACAGGCTTCCATTGTGTTAGTTGACCTTGGTCAGTCTGCATGGAAAAGGAAAAGAGTGAGTTGGGATGCTGGAATCTGTCTCCCTGTGCACTGGTCAAGGAGGGTTGAAGAGGTAGGGTGGGTTACTACATAAAGGGAGGCCCATGAGCTTCTGCCCTTGCAGCCTAACTTGAGGGGGGATGGGATGGGATGGATTAGGAAGAGACACACACGCAGGACTCCAGTCTTAAGGTCACTCACGCTGGCTAACAAAGGATTCAGGGGAATGTTGTCCGAATTAAATAGGAAAAGATGGAATGAGAGTTTGTCAGGGAGGGATCTCTGAAAGAGGTGCCTTTTAAGAAGAGTTTGGAGAAAGTTAAGGGGATGCCAAGTAGCAAAAGAAGGAGGGGGAGTCCCCCTGGGCTTGGGGTGGGAGATGGGAAGTGGCCTGTGCACAAGCTGAGGACTGTGGGGTGGTGGAAACCCTGGCCTCCCTGACCCAGGAAAATCAATGCGCTCCTTGCCTTACCACAGAGCAGACTGGAGGAGAGCTGGCTGCTTCACAGAGAGGCATGGAGTGAGTGGGGCAGGCCTGGCATTTATAGGAGTGCCCTGCTTAGGCTCCGGACGGTTGCCAGTGGTAGATGATGCGTCTTTTTCTTCAGTGATTGCTTCACAGGTGTGTGGTTTGCTAATTTTGAGCAGGGTTGTCACAGTCCGGAAGGGTGTGGGGGGCAGGGCAGAAGTTGGAGGAAGGGGAAGGGGAACTGTTTACGTTTCTCCTGTGTCTTTTTGTGAAATTCCCAGTTCTCCTTCCCCCCCCTTTTACCCTCCCCCCTCTCCAAGCTGGTTTGGGAGGAAATAAATTAGCCTCTGCCTTCTCAGCAGCCGCGGGGATTGCAGGCTTTCACCACCACAACTGGCCTCAAAGGGCATTTATCTTGTAATTAAGTGTATTAGAGTTATCTGTATATGTTCCTTATTCATTTAGGGACTAAATTCCGTAAGGACAGAGATCGTGTCTTTCTTAAACTTTGCGTTTTCTCTAATTCCTAGTATAATGTTCTACACACAGTAATTTGAATTCATTAATTCGATAAGAAAAAAATATTGACTGTCTCCTATGTGCTAGACCTGGTGTTTAGGGGTTAGGGGAAGGGTGAGGACCCTGTGGCCTTCTAGGTCCTCAAAGGCCCCACTTGAGGACCTAAAGGACCACAGGTGGCCTTGAGGCCCCAAGTTCCCCACCCCTGTCAGCTAGGGTATATGTGATAACTAAGAAACTTTTTCTTGAGAAGCCCGTCTTATAGATAGATATCCCCAAGACTTAACATATAAGCCAGAGTATAAGGGAATAAGAAAAAGAGTGATATACCTTGAGATCTAGAAATTTCAGTGGTTACCTAGTATGATTTTCTCATTTTACAGATGAGGAAAGAAAGTCCCAGAGAGATTAAGGGATTTAGCCAAGATCTGTAGCTAGCATACATGAGGGCCAGGACTCAGACTCACCACAGAATCAGAGATTTAGAGATGGTGATGAAGTTGGGGATTGAGCTTCAACCCCCTCCTCTTATAAATGAGGAGGCTGAATCTCAGAGCGACTTGTACGAGGTCACATAGGGAGTAACTGGCTGAGACTGAATTTGAATTCAAGTCTTTTGACTTCACATCTCACTTTCTTTACACGTCATCAGGTTTTCTAAAAAACACCAAGACCAATGATTTCTCCATTACACTACACTGAGAATTACAATGTGCTATAGGAATTCAGAGAAAGGAGAGATTTCTTTTGGCTGGGAGAAGGGGTTTTGTGAGGAATATTCAGGGGAAGACTTAATGGAGGAACTGGTATTAAAAGATAGGTAGAATTCATGCAGAAAGATGAGATGCGGAGTGTAATGTGTAAAATTAATAATCAATGCCTCGAGGGCTTTGCTCTGTATTGCTTTGCTAAACTTTTATCAACTACAATCATTTTAATCAGATAAGAGGTAACTGTGATTTATGGTAAGAATATAGTCCCGGGTGAAAGTCTGTGTGTAACAGAAACTAAGATATAGTCCCAGAGAAGTACCTGTGCTGTTAATTTTAGGAATATAATTATAATCATCTTTATATTAAAATATAGTGCGTAAAAGGTGGACCTAGCCTATAATGTAAAAAGGCTTGCTTTTTGTAACACCATAAAAATAAACCTACTGTACTTACTGTAACATCATATGTAATGAGCTGTGTATTGACACATCATGGACTACTTGAGCCAAAAGCCTGCTTGAGTAAAAGGGTGCTGACCATTTACACCATAGCCAGCCTACTTGCACCAAACGTGAATCAAGAGAACTATAAATAACTGTGAATTCTGTTATTCGGGGTTTCAAACCCTGAATACTGGGCGGATTGTAGACCCCACCTTTGTTTCTCTTTAAAAAGGTTGGTTTCTCTGCCCAGAAAGGCTTCCCAGTTTCTTTATCTCAGGGGGGCATTTTGGGCTAGGGGATTTATGTGAGCAAAGACTCCCATTTGAAAAAGGGCTAAGCCAGTGCGGTGAAGAGAGCCGGCAGATTGTTCTGGCTGGAGAGGATGGTAGGGTTCGTACTGTACAATGCTTTGAATGCCAAGCTAGATGTATATGGAACTGGCCTTGTTTGCTGTTTATTTTCTTTCCCCAGTAGCATCTTGGATGAAGGCACAGACAACATGCTTTTCATACTTGCAGATGACAAGAACTTGGGAGGGATAGTTAGCATAGTGCATATTTAGAATCTCAGAAGATCTCTGCAAGCTAGAAACATAGGTTGACTCTTAGAAGATATAATTTCATAGGAATAAATGTGAAGTTCTACAACTGGGTTCAAAAAGTCAAGTTCACAAAGATGGGATTGGGGAGACCTGATTAGAAAGTAGCCTATGTAAACAAGAGCTTGGGATTTTAGTGTACTATGGACTCAAAATGAGCCAACAATATGGCAGGGCAGCCCAAAAGTCTATGAAGATTGTATTAATAGAGGCATAGTGCCTAGAAAGGAAGTGATAAGGCAAAATCAAAAGAGGAGTGGTTCTCTTTCATGTATTGGTTAGACTGGGTGGTCCTCTGAGATCACTTCCAACTCTGAAATTGTGTGATTCTGTGGGAATGGAGACCATGCCCTATGAGGTCGGATGGAAGCAGCTAGGGATGTTTAGCCTGGAGGACAGAAGACTTGGTGGTGGGTTGAGGAGGGCATGAGAGTTGGCATTGAACATCTGAAGGGTTGTCAAGTGGAAGAAAATGAGATATTTGTTCTGTAAATCTTAGAAAGACAGATTCACCCTGATGTTTAGAAGAGTTTTAAAATAATTGGAACTGTCCCAAAGTGGAATGGACTGCCCAGGGAAATAATGGATCCCTTCCATGGAGGTCTTTTTTTGGTTAAATAACCAATTGTTATGTGTGTTATAAGGGGGTTCTCTTTCAAGTTTGGTTTGGACTAGATTAGGGGCTCTTCACCTGGGGGGGAAATCCATAAATTTGTTTTAAAAATACTTTGGTAATTCTATTTCAGCACAATTGGGTTCCTTTGTAATCCTATGTATTTTATTTTATTCATTTAAAAACATTATTTTGAGGGGCAGCTAGGTGGTGCAGTGGATAGAGCACCATCCCTGAAGTCAGGAGGACCTGAGTTCAAATACGATCTTTGACCAAACACTTGACACTTACTAGCTGTGTGACCCTGGGCCTTAAAAAAAAAAAATGCTAATTGTCTGACTGAATCACAGTTCAGAAATCACAGAATTTCAGAGCTGGATAGTAGCCATCTAGTTCAATGTATGCATGAAAGGAATGTCCATGAATATATCAGTAAGTGAGCTGTGATAGTTAGCTGAGATTCATGGAGAAGGGCGGCGAACAGTAAAAACTGGGAAAGGAGGAAGGGGCCAGAAGAGAAGGCTTTGAATGTCTGGCTAGGAGTGCTTGAAATTGACCCTGAAGACTGTAGAGGACCACTGGGAGTTTCTGGTCAGTGGACGAGATGGGGTTGAGGTTAATTTTATAGGAGGTATGCACTGAATTATTCTATCAACCTGTGTAGGCAGAGAGGCCGGTTAGGAGACAATTGCATTTGCAATGAGGTGGTGAAAAGGAGTTACTAGGCACGAGAATGGAAATGAGGGGCCAGATGCAAGAGGTGTTGTGAAGGTATGCACAGTTTTGTAAATACTTCCTCTTTCTACACTGGCTTAGCACTCCTATTCGCTACCATCCCATCATTTCATGTGAGTCTGTATGAGTGTACCTGCCTTTGCCAGGAACCTGCAGAGAGAAAGCCTGCCTCGCAGGCTGCACAAGTTTCTGTGCGGTGCCCTGAGGGATATTTGCCGTTTCTTGGTATTGGATTTTTATTCATGGTATTGGGGTGGACCTGGGGAATCCCCCCCTTCCAAACTTCCCTATTTCTGTTGAGGGCAATAACATCTCTCTAATCCCTGAGGTTCAAAATCTTGACATTATCCTTGACCCTCCCGTCTCTTACCACCCATATCCATTGGTTGTCAAGTTTTGTGGCTTCTGCCTCCTCAACGTTTCTTTCATCTTTTATCTACTCTCATGGCTGCCATCCCATTGGAGGCCCTCATCACTTCTCACCTGAACTATCAGGTCTCCTTCCTAATTGGACACTCACCTTTCAATCTATCTCTTTTCCAATCCACATTCCACACGGTTGCCAAAATAAAATTTCTAAAGTACCAGTCTGATTGTATCATTAGCTTTAGTGGGTCCCTATCACCTCAGGATAAAATTCAAACTCTTCATATTGGTATATAAAGTCCTTCCCAACCTAACTCCAGATGATTCTTCTACGTTTATTTCACATTATTCCCTTTACATAATGGCCTGCTTACCATTCCTCAGACTTGGCATTCCATTTCTCACCTCTGGGATTTTTGTACAGTGTTGTGGGCCAGGATGCTAGTAGAACTGGGGAAGCTTGAGTTAATATC